GGCCCTCTCAAGGGCTGCGCCACCCTGGGTCCCGGGAACAGGCTCCTGGTCATGGCATGTGGCCCTCTCAAGGGCTGCGCCACCCTGGGTCCTGTTCTCTCTCTACGTTTTTTTAAATTATATATATTATATATGTTTTTCAGTTGTCAGTGGACCTTTATTTTATTCATTTATTTATATGTGGTGCTGAAAATCGAACCAAGGGCCTCACACCTGCTAGGCAGGTGCCCACCACTGAGCCCCAGCCCCAGCCCATGCTCTCTCTCAGTCTGGCTTTGATATCCTTGCAATGTGGCTCCTTAGAATGTTTTTCAAATATCCTCTTCAATGTTGGAACAATGTGTAGTGTTTAGTAGAGTTTACCGTGAGGCCCTCAGGCCCAGGGCTGTTCTCCATCAGGAGGGTTTTGACCACTGATTCAATCTCCTTAGAAGCCGTAGCTCTGTTCAGAAGACCCAGCAGAGAAAACAGTGATGACAGAGGCATGCTCACTAGGGAAGGGGTCTTCCTGCCAGAACTCCCTGGTCCTCTGGAGGCTGAAGGCTGGGAAGCCTGCTGACTGAACCCTCACCAGGGCAGACCCTTGGGTGGGTGCCAGCCATGTGGACATGCTCACGCTGGGCTGCTGCTCCCTGGACATGGGCCTGCAGGACCTGCTACTCTGCTCTCACGGATGTAATTCTGGTTTTTTCGTTTTTTTTCAGCTTTTGAACATGTCAAACTATAAGGAGAAGTTCTCTACTCTGCTGTGGTTGGAGGAGATCCATGCAGAAATAGAACTGAAGGAGTACAACATGAGCGGAGTCACCCTGAAGAGGAACGGGGACCTGCTGGTGCTGGAGGTTCCGGGGCTGGCGGAAAGCAGGCCCTCCCTATATGCAGGTGCGCTGGCCCTGGGGGCTCCCTCCCACTGTCTCTCCCATCTTTTCATGGAGCGCTCCACTTGGACACCGTCAGCGCTGTGTAAATGTTAAGCATGCCACTTTGTCAACTCACAGTTGTCTGGGAGCTGATCCCAGGACTGTTCTTCGTTCACATCCTCAGGGCTTGGTTTCACAGTGTAGCAGGAGACATTTGTGATCTTGTCTTAGTTTGACACATGATAATTTATGTTTTGACCAGGTGACAAACTGATCTTAAAATCCCAGGAGTACAACGGGCATGTCATTGAGTACATTGGCTATGTGATCGAGGTAAGAGGACTCCCTCCTGACCCATTGGGCTGACCCATTCATTCTCAGGAAAGGTGCTCCCTTGGGCTTTGGCTTCCTGTTGGGAAGTGTGAAGATAAAGTAAATCTTTAAATAATCTTTGATGTGTGAAAGGAACATGGTGTCTAAAGAGATTCTGTCATTTTCAACCTCATAAGTCACCTATGTTGTGATGCCTGCACTGGGTTGACTTGGGCACACTCTGGAAGAGCCGACAGGGCAGTACCCTGCACAGGGAGGACTCTAGAACGTGTAGAGCTCGGGGTGGGGCAGGAGGTCCCGTTGGCTTGGCTCAGATTGCAGCCTGGACCTCCCTGCCTGCATGGTGTGTGCTTCTCAGGCTGATTCTCACTGCTGCTATCCTGAGTGAAGTCCCAGGAGTACTGCTGGGAGCTGCATGTGTGTGCATGCTCAGTGTGTGCAGGGATCCCATGCTGCCCAATGTGGAGAGGGAGGGGCATGCCCAGCTTCACTCTCAGAGAAGAAGGACTTGTGGGACCAGAGGCTCTTACGAGGATTCCGAGGGGACCCACATAGCTCTGGTGTGGAGCTATGCTGTGGCTGAGATGAGAAGGAGGTGTTTTCCTGAGCTCCAAGACTCTAATGACCCAGAGCCTCAGCTGTTGATGGCGCTGCAAATCACACTTGGTCCCGGGCTCATCCTTGGGGGTGCATGAGTGGCAATGGTGGAAGGTGCAGGGAGGATGGGCTTGTTAATCTGCTTGAGAAGAGGAGGGTGGCCTTGAGTAGCTGGAGGCCATGGAGAGCCCTGGAGAAGGCACAGGGACTTGGGCAGCACTGGAGGCTAGTGGCTTTGTGGTCAAGGTGTCTAGGCTTCTTGGACGAGGCTGGAGCAAGCTACCTGACCAAGCCTCTTGCTGTGGGTGTCAGTTGTGCGAACTGGTGGAAACAGAACAGTATGATTCTGCAACAGTGTGTTGCTCCCACAGCTGCCACTGAGTGGGCAAGCCAGAGGAAGGGGCAGGTGCAGAATGCAGCCAGCTAAAGTGGGTAGCCAGGTCTCAGGAAGATACACCCTGCCCACCCCCCTCCCTCCTCCTACAGGTGGCACCATCACTGCACCTGGGGTCAAATGCCGACACCATGGCCGTCCTCAGAAGCAGGTCTTTCATCCCTAGGTCAGCCTGGAGTGTTTAAGCAGGACAGTGCCTCAGCACAGGGACACTGGGCACCTGGCACCCCTTTAACTGCTGTGCTGTGATCACATTATCGCTCCTCCTTTTCTTTGAGTTTGAATTCCACCTGAGACCTGCTGAACAGCCTGAGAGAGAGCCAGCTGGAGAGTTGTCCAGTCTCCAGTCTCCTTTTTCTGGTGAGGCCTCCACTCTGTTAAGCTGTAGGGACCATCCTGTCACAGCTTCTGTACCCATCCAGAGGGTTCAGAGCAGGAGCCAGGAGGAGAGTCCTTATCACCCGAGAGAGTGTCAGCCTGCACTTCTTCACAGGCCCCGAAGAGCTTGCTCCTGCTTCTTTCTCCAGGATCACACCCATGAGTCCTGTCCCCCCACTGGCACGCCCTGCACCCTGACGTGTCGCCAGCACACACAGTATTGAGAGTGAGAGGATGGGGAGAATGGGTGTGAGTACCAGCCTCATCAGGGCAGGATCCTGGCCACAGCCCATCCATCCAGCTGGCAGTAAAGCCAGTCCCTCCTGCTGGTCAGGCCCACCAGGCCCAACCACACTCCCTGTGGGAAAAGATCACCCCTATGGGCCTGTACCCGTGGGCCCCTGAGCACTCATCGTGAGTGGCAGTGTGCTGACAGGGCTCAGGGGTCTGTTCACCTTGCCAACTCTTTAGCCCACTCCAGCTGTTGACAAGTGGCATGAGGATCCCACAGATTGCCAGGCAACTGTCTTACCTTTCACACCACAGACCAGTTACGCATCAAGGAGGAAAGCTCCGGGTACCAAAGCCTCCAAGTAGGACCAGAGATCTCAGCAAGAGGCACTGTCCACTAATTCCTGTGGGGTGGTGGCACCACCTGGGCACTCGCACAGAGCTCTGATATCGGAGGCCGACTAGCACTTGATTGGTCTGACTCTCCTGCTGACCCGTGTGGCATCCTAGGGTCACGCTGTGATCTGGATAGCCCCGTCTTCTAGGGTGCGAGCGACTTGTCTTGTGCATGGGCGTGCCTTCCCACATCCCCATGGGTGGAGCTTCACTCACCTTTTCCTTTGTGATATTACCTCTTTGCCCTATTTAGGATAGAATGTTCCATGGAAACGCCTTGTGTGTGTCCCTGTCTCTTACTGTGCCCTTGAGTGTGGCCTTCCTAGATGTCAGTCAACCTGCTGAGAGCAGACATCATGAAGATAGACTCAGCCCCCTAAAACCTGACCCCTTGCCTCATTTGAATGGCTTCTCCTCTATAAAAGGGGTCAGCTCACTGTCTTTCTGCGGACCCTTAAGGTCAGAGGAGCCGTCATAGCACCCCCAAAGAAAAAGGTATTTCTGTCTCTTGGTGGTTATTTCACGCAGTCCAGTTATTTCAGTTTCCCTGGAGTGACCCCAGAGTATTTTAGTCACGTGCAACCTGGCAAATGGCGTCCCTGGGTGGGCAAAAGGTCTGAGTGTTTAAGTTGCCGGGAAAGTGACACTCTGGGTCTAGAGGCAGAGCGGGCCACCCAGCTGCTCAGGTGGTGCATTCTGTGGGTCCCCCTGGCTGTACTTGGTTTTGCCATTGGTGTCTTGGCCAGAGAGTACGGTGAGGGACTCAGGTCCTGAATGGCGTGGCTGGTGGAGGAGACCCAGAGAACAATTAGTCACCACACTGAAGTCAGGTTGGCGAGTTGGGCCCTCTACAGGTTAGCAGTTCTGGAGCCTGGGGAGAGAAGGCTCCTGTGCTGACTCTATCTAGCACTGCCCACTGGCCATGCTCACAGAGGGCCTCCTGCCTGCCCTCCTGTCTCCCTCTCTGTCCTCACTTCTCAGGGCCTGCTTGGTTTTGTAAAGCTGCCCTGACCCTTCATGTTGCCTGGTGCTGCTTGTCTTTGTCTTTCGCCTTCTCACTCCAGGCACCGCCTCTTAGATTCCTCTAAGTGGTCAAGTCAGCCTGTGGCATCCTGGCATCAGACCTGCCACAGGCTCTCTGCCCTAGCCCTGTGTTAGGAATCTAACACAGGTAGTTTCCTGTGTGTGTGGTGATCTTTGGTTATGAGCTCACGTTCATTTCTTGCAGTCTCCTCTGGTGAGCTGGCTGTCCCTGTAATGGAGTTGTGGCCACATCTGCTGAGAGTGGGGGGCATTGACCGGGTCCTTTCCAGCATGTGACTCTTCGTTGCCCTCATGCCCGTGGTCTCAGTTGCTCAGATTGCAGCTTCTGCGCCCTTTGCTGGAGTTGGCCTGGCCCTCGGGAAGTGGCCCTGCCTGAGTGGTCCTTATTTACCTGAGAAGGTTTGAGCTCCTTCTGCAGCTCGGAGTTTTCCTTCCTGCAGAATCTGGCTTCACCCCTTCCCACTGCCAGCAGGAGGGCAAGTCTAAATGATCTTTCTGTGGCAGCTGTGATCCACAAGAGCACCTGGCTGCACCTGCAGCTGCGGGCTGGTTGGCCTCCTGAGTCAGTAGCCTGGCTCAGCCCTGTCTCCTCAGAGCCTACGCCTGGGGAGACGCTGGCTAAGTGTGGCTGGTGTGAGTGGAAACACTGACCATTGACTCCTGTGTTGTGTGACTCAATGACTTCAAGATGTGATTCTTTCAGTTAAATTTGCAGATATTTAAAATATAAAATGTGGCTCACATTTGTAAAATGAGTTTTTCTTGTTATGTTACTGGACATGGATGGATTATTCCAAGAAGTCAAGGTTAATGTAAGAACTTGTCTATTGTAAATCCCTTGTCTTTTTTCAGATTCACGAAGAAGATGTAACTCTTAAACTTAATCCAGAATTTGAGCAGACGTACAACTTTGAACCTATGGATGTGGAGTTTACATACAACAGGTAGGCACCAGGTAGTCCCACCATGCCCTCCTCACCGTGATGGGCATGCTCCCAGCAAGGCCACTGACGTCTCCCTGGGGATAGGGGAGCTGCTGTGTTGACCCGTATCTGTGGTTTGGGTGCTCTGTGTACCACTTGTCTGTGCCTGTGAGTACAGCTTCATTACAGTTAACTTGTGAGATAAAGACACAGATGATTCTATGCTCACTCATTTTTGGAACTTCCCTGCACCCAGTCCCGTCGCCCACGTCGCCTCCAGTCCACCAGCTCCTTCGCCTCACCACCCCTTTCTGTCTCCCACTGACCTTTCCAGCCATTAACTGGAACTTTTTTTTGGTGGGGGGGACTTGGCCTGGGACCTGTGCTTCTCCTGCCTCAGCCTCCCAAGTACTGGGATTACAGGCGTGTGCCCTCACTTTTATAAGAGATTGTATGTCTGTGTATGCACATGTGTGCACATGAGAGGTGTGTCCTTTGGCTTCAGTTCTTCTGAACCTTTTGGAAGGCTGGTTGCTGTGTGCAGTTGCAGGAGCTGTGCTTCTCACTGAGCATCGTTACCAAGAGTGCCCCGGTCCTGTCTGTAACTGGGTCTCCTATTTCCACCACTGTCCTCTGCGCTGTCTTGTGACTCTCCACCCCCATCTGCTCCTCTGTTGATGCACATTCTCATCATTTCTGAAGCTGACTGTTTGTTTATTGAACAAGCTGCGTGCACACTTGGGTAACATTGCAGGGTTGGAGTTCAGTGGCAGGTCCACACCTCACATGGGTGCACCTGTGCTTCCAGGAACAGTGTGTTGGCCCGTGCCCCTGAGCCTGGTGGTTAAACTTCACAGTTTGTGCCAGCCATGTGGGCAGATAACACACTTCATTGTGATTTTTTTTTAAACCAAGATTTTTTAAAATATTTTTTTAAATTTATTTTTATGGGGTGGTGAGGATCCAACAGGGCCTTATGCATGCGAGGCAAGTGCTCTACAGCTGAACCATAACCCCAGCTGCCCTCAATGTGATTTTACCTTGCATTTCTTTACCTGCAAGTTGAGAATCTCCACATTCATTGGTCATAAAATTTTCATCTTCTGTGAAATATTTGCTTGTATCTTTTGCCCTCTTTTTTATTGAATAATTTGTCTGATTTTTATTATTTGCAGGGATTTTTGTGTATTCATTATGTGAAACTATTCTGAGATTTTAAATCTTTTCTGGGCTTGTCATTTATCTTTTAATTCTATTTTAAAAGTTTTTATTAACTGAAAGTGTTGATTTTTTCAGGCTCATCAGTTCTTTTCTTACCACCATGCTTGTCCTCTGTGGTTTGAGAAGTCAGGGCTGCACCCAGTCTGGGCTGTGTGGAGGGTGAAGGGGCTGGGGAAATGGAGCAGTGGAGCTAGTTCTCTTTTAAGGTGTTTGACCGTGGAAGCAGAGGGGCAGTGCGTGTGGCCTCCACAGGGACACTGGGATGTTTTCTATTGGTGTGAGAAGCGGCAGAGCAATGAGACGTGTTTGGAGCCTAGGAAAATATGAAGTGCAAGGTTGAGGGAAGGTGTGACCAGGTGGGCCACCTGGGACAGCGACCTGTGCAGGGATGTGCAGGGGTCCATCTTGCAGGGGTGGGAGGGCGGAAGATCTCAGCTGGTCAGTGAGCCTGAACTTCTGGTAAAGCCATTGCAGCCAGCGGCAGTATGGCTGGTTGTGAGTTTATTAGTACTCCTCCACTGGTGAGGAGCGGGACACCTTTTCACAGTCGTGCCATTTGTACTTTCATGGGTCACACTTTCAGTGAAACATCTTAGAAATCTTTGCTTAACTCAAGATCCTAAGAGAGCCCTCTGGGTACCTTTTGTAAAGACTCTAGTCCTGTTCATGAAGACAGAGCCCTTATAGCCTTCTGTCCTTTCAGAGACCCCACCTCCAAACACTGTCCTGTTGAGGATTAGAGTTCTGGGGATGCACACACTCCGTCTGTTGTGTGTGGCTTTGTGGCAAGTTCAGGAATCAGGCAGGCCGCGCTCCACCTCGCTCTACCCGGAGTTGTCTGGTCTTCTAGGCCATCTGTGTTCCCACTCGGGTTTTAGCTCATCCATCAGTGTCTATAAAAAGCCTGTGGGATTTGGATCAGGATCACATTAACTCTAGGTCGGTTGAAGGGAGAATTGTTGATGTTAAGTACTGAGTCTTCCAATCTCTGAAAACGCTGCGTCGTTCCATTGATTCTCCCCACTTCTTGTCTCCATGTCTTTTGCAGTGGTTTGCACTATGCAATGTACAGGTTTTGTGTATCTTTTGTCAGTTATTCCTACTTAAAGAAATTTTAACTATTGCAGGTATCAATTTTAACTTAAGTTTCCAATTACTAATTTTCAGTATTTATAAAAGCAATTGATTTTTGTGCCTTTATCTTACGTTCTGCAAAATTGCTAAACTCACTTAGTTCTAGCAGCTTTTTTGCAGATTACATAGGATTTTCTACATGTGTAATTGTGGTTTTAAATGAAAGATTCCTTCTTCCTGTCTTGCCCCATGCATTTTGTGGTGTCCCTCACCCTGGGGTGTGGCCTGAAGCCTCTGGGAAGGGTTGTGTGGCCGTGGATGTGGCCCACCGCCTTATTCCCGACCTCGCAGGCTGCCAGTCTCACAGCATCAGTGCAGTGGGAGTGGAGGATCCTGTGCCGTCCCTTGGGGGGAGGAGACATAGCCCTCACTGGCTAGAGTTTCTAGCTAGGGATGGATGTGATGGTGTCCAGGGCTCTCTGCTGCAACGCCATGGTCCTCCTGTCTCCTGAGCGGTGGAGGTGCTGGTGAGCTCCTGGGAGCAAGCACCGTGGCTGTGACCAGGTGGCTGTGTGTCGCCAGGTCTCATCTGCAGGTGTGCCAGTCATGTCTGCATCTGTGTGGAGGGCTGTGTTAGGCTGTGGCGTCCACTCCTCCGCCTTTCAGGGAGTGTGTGTGGAGTGAGTTCCTTTTCTCCCTAGGTGCTGGTAGAATTCACCTCGAGGCCCTCCCTGAGGCTTGGGTTTTGTGGGGCACTCTTCTTTCCCGGTCCCAGGAATGGAACCCAGTGGCCCTTGCTCTTTTGCATTTTATTTTGAAGTAGGGTCTTGCTGAATCACTGAGGCTGGCCTTAACTTGCCATCGTGCTGCCGTAGGCATGGCCACTGTGTCTAGCTGTGGGGCACTTCCATACTCCCTGTCCTTAAAGACACAGGACCCTTGGGTTGTCCGCTTTTCCCTGAATGGGCTTTGGTGTCTGAAGGAAGCTGATCCACCCAGCTCTAGCTGCTTTACGAGAGTGGCTCTGTCTCCCGGTGGCCCCTTCCATAGCTCCCCATGCGGGCTCCGCTGGCCACTGCTTCTGGCTCCTGGTGTTCTCACGTGTGCTCTCTTCCTCTCTCAGCAGTCTGGCCACATGTCTGTCATTGGATGACCTTCTCGCAGACTCTAGCACTTCTCATCTCACTGCTGTTCTGTTTTCTCCAGTGTCCGTGGCCCTGTCCCACTCGCCCTGGGTCCCGCCTGCCTTTCTCTGGTTCCCTGTGGTGGCGGGGAGTCGGGGTCTGAGCCTTTCTTCTTGCTTGGTGCTTGGTGCTGGTGAGTGCCACCCTCGGGGAAGTGTCCCAAGGGCTCTGCCCCTGGCTACTGTGCCACAGGACCATCCAGCAGAGAGGTCCTTTTACCTGGGTGCAGTGATGCTCAAATGCAGGGGGAATTGTCATCCTTGACGCTATATCCTCTTCTTGGACGGTGGCTTCTTTCTCTTCCTTGTCCTTTTTTGGGATTCTCACTCACGGTCTCTCTCCTGGCACCCTCCTGTCTGTTTTCTTTTTTCTAGTAGTTTTCTGGTGCTTTGTGTCTTTGTCTTGTTTCTTATTTTAGGGAAACGCTTTTGGTATTTTACCCCTTAGTGTCTTGATTGGTCAGGTCCTATTTTAAGATACTGATTTTGAATATTTTTTAGTTACCTCTTCAACATTGTGTTTTCCTTCAGCCTTGCAATAGGAAGTATTTCAGCTGGAGAACTTTGTGACCACCTTTCTTCTATACCCAGAATGGAAGGAGGTGTTTGGGTGAATCGCGGCCTCTAGGCTCATGGGCTAGGCTGCGCTGGTGCTTCTCCATGGCTCTTGGTCTCCGGGTGCCGGTGTGGTTTTCTTGCTGCTGCTTTCGTTGTCACGTGTTTGGAGTCTGTCGTGGCAGCTCTGAAGAGACAGTGAAGTCCCTCTTCTCTCTGCCTTGGTGAGGCTGGGGTGCGTGGGCGGCCATGTCACACCTTGGAGGCAGTGCTGTTGAGTCCTCCGTGGTTCTTTTCTAGCTCTTGCTCCTCCTTGGGTGGAGGTGGTCGTGCCCAGGCAGGGTCCATCAGGGGCAAAGAACTGGCTGCTCTCGGGAGGCACTTTGGTAGACCTCACAGACCTCTTGTCAGGCTCCCCGCCATGGGGGTGGGTCCTGCAGTGACCTTGAGCACCACCTGCCCTGGCCGTGCAGTTGGGGTTGAGGGGTGGCCCTGCAGGCCCATGTCTGCCCTTTCCAGGTTCCGAGAGGCTGCAGCAGCTTCTGGGGGACCCCTGCCGAGGGACCCTGGTTCTCTTTACAGACCGTCCTCTTCATTTGCACTTTGGAGCTGTGGCCGTCCTGTGTCACTGAAGATGACTTTTATTTTCCATGTTTTTCTTCTTGGTTATTTTCAGTGAATTTCAAGGGAGCAAACCCTTAAAATACTATCTCCCTTCTGTTAACACCGTGATATTGGCATCGTCCTGACACTTCATGGCTGCACCTTCAGCTTCTTCTACGCGCCTGCTTCATGCATAGAATATAGAATCCAAGCTCTCCTGATAACATAAACTCTCTCTTTTTATAATTTGGAATAAAACTTGTGATTTTGTGTAGATAGACCCAGTAAAGCACTCCTCACACCCCGGACTGCCTTCAAGGCCTTATAAGTCCTGAGCTCTACCATGGCCTTTATTTTCCAATACTTTGTGAAGGACATGTTAGTTTGACGTCTTGAAGATTCTCATCTTAGTCTGACTTATGTTACTGTAACAGAATGCCATAAACTAGGCAATTTATAAGAAAAAGAAAATCATTTCTCCCAGTGGTGGCAGCTGGGGAGCCCATCTGGCGAAGGCTTCTTGCTTCACCTTGAGGAGCAGCAGACACCAGGGACAGGAGAGCATCTGGAGGGGGAGGGCGGGAAAGGGGAACGCGTCTTCCTGACAAGGCCTGTAAATGCCCCATAAGTGTTGGAGGGGACGTTCACCCAAGCCGGCAGGCCCGTCCTGCGAGCTTTGCTGGCCTTCATGGCTCCAGGCCACGCGGCTCATTGTGCTTTCTCTCTGGCAGGACCACAAGCAGACGGTCGCACTTTGCCCTGGAACAGGTGGTGCACTTGGGTGTGAAAGGTAGAACTTCGTGGCCTGCTGGCCTTGCTTACATCTGTCTTCCCCAGCGCTCTCCCAGTCTTCCTGCAAGACTGTGTGTGAGGCAGTCTCTTCCATCCTGTGTCAGAAATGAAGCAGCATAATATCCGTGGTTTTTACTTTTCTGTTGGGAAGCTTGTGGGTCTTTTACTGGTTCAGTTACATAAAAAATAGCATGCTTGGGCTGGGGTTGTAGCTCAGTGGTAGAGCATTTGCCTAGCATGCATGAGGCACTGGGTTCAATTCTGAGCACCACATATAAATAAATGGATAAAATAAAGGTCCATCAACAACTAAAAAAATTAAAGGGAAAAAGAATAGCATGCTTAAATCATTGGAAATAGGTCCATTACCCTCTGCAATAGCTTCCCTTGTAATGTAAATCATTTTTGTACTCTCAGAAAGACAAGTGGGTGACTTTGTTGTGAAGAATAGGCAGCACTGGTGCTGTGCTGAGTTCAGAAGTAGATGAAGGGGGTCCAGAGAGGAATAGAGTGGCATGTGGGCCGTTGCACACAGTGAGTCAGGGACATTCCGGGTGCTGCCGTGTGTTTCTTCTGAGCTCTTCAGTAATATCTACCCTCTTACCTTTTCTCATTTTCAAGTGTTGTTTCCAGAAGAAATCATTTTGCAGTCTCCTCAGGTGACAGGGAACTGGAGCCATGCCCAAGACACCAGGAGGAACAGAGAGCCCACCACCAAGGTAGTGCTTTGACGACTCCCACTGTCTAAGAAGGTGATGTTACAAATTCACGTCCAGGTAGATTAGCTCACGTGGACTAGAGAATTAGAGGAGCGTAGTCCTCAAAAAAGCAAAATCAGTGGAAACCAAAGTATGCATAAAATTGATTTAGTGTACATTTATATACAATTATATATAGGTGTAAGATGCTGCAGTAAGTGGGGAAACAAGATCTAGGTGTGTATGTGATCTTGTTGTTTCATTTTAAAATTGGTTTTGGAGACATTTACATCATTATATATTCATAGAAAATGAATGCCCACTCAGCAATATTTTTCTTCCATGTTGGAAATGGAAGCCAGATGTTGCTGTAACAGAATGCCACAGACCAGGCAATTTATAAGAAAAAGAAAATCATTTCTCCCAGTGGTGGCAGCTGGGAAGCCCATCTGGCAAAAGCTTCTTGCTGTACCTTGAGGAGCAGCAGACACCAGGGACCACAGGAGAGCATCTGGAAGGAGGAGGGCGGGAAAGGGGAACGCGTCCTCCTGACCAGGCCTGTAAATGCCATCAGTACTTTTGCCTCACACGTGCCAGGTGAGCACAGCACCACTGAGCCACCCCCCAACCCAAGCAGCTCCTTCACATCTGTGGTTTTATGAGTGCTGCAAAGAGGTGCTACCTTTGCTTCTCCAGTCAGTCCCTCCATAGTGGCAGTGTGGCACCTGCTGTGTGTTAGGTGTTGTCCTAGACTCTCAGTGTATTTTTGAATAAAACAGAAGCCGGCTGGGGAGGCAGCTCAGTAGTTGACTCACACTCAACATGGGTGGGGCCCTGATTAAACACAAGCCACAAAGAGAAAGTGTGACTGATTAGAGCCCCCTCCCCCCAGAGTAACAGCAGTCACAGTTGGCAGAGATGTTGAAACAGGTGTTGTAATTAAGTGAAAGACACGTGCACATTCAGTGGACATGTGAAACAAGAGGCACACGTTGTCATCTCGAGGTGAGAAATGTAGTGCCTGTGATGAGCAGTGTGCTGGACAGAGAGGGCATGAGACCGTGCAGTCCACAGGAAAAGGGAGAAAACCACACAGAGAAAAGAGAGCAACCCCACTTTACTCTAAAAGTACATCTCTTTTTAAAATATGTAACGAGCACGGTGAGTCGTGGGCCAGCTCGGTGACCCTAGGTTTGTGTGCCTGGAGTCCCAGAGAGGGGCACAGGGACTTCTGAGAGCCACAGTGGGCAGATGTGGATTTGAGAGATCTGCACGTGAGAAACTCCTCAAGCCCTCAAGAGAGGACTGGGCAGTGACTGGACACAGGACACCAGATCCCTCAGGGCCAGTGATGGCCAGCAGAGCGCATCTCCCAAGCTGCATGCAGCAGTGCCTACATACATACCAGAGATGGGACAGCCCCTTTCTGAAGCAGCACAGAGCAGGTTGCATTGGGGCACTGTCTTTAAAGTGTGGAAAGGAAAGAGAAAACTGCCAACCTGGAAACCCCCGAGACCTCTTCACGGCTGAGACATTCCCACACACTGTGGTCATCTGACCCCTGGCAGAGGCGCCAGAACGTGCTGGAGAAAAGAGCCTTTAAACAAGTGGTGCTGGGAAGACTGGTTGTCCACATGGAGAGAAACGGCCTGTGCCCTGCGCAGAGTCAGCCCACCATGCATCCGGCTGGGGACGGGCCAGGAGCTCCATGTGCCTGTGGATAGCATGTGTGCCTGTGCTAGTATAGCCACTTTGCAGTCACCAGGGATGCTCCTCAGAGACCAGGCCTTGACCCGCCATGGGCCCCAGCTCTGCCACTCCTCAGTATTCACCCTGAAGAATCAAAGTCAGCGTGCGACAGTGAGACATACACACCCTGTTTACACCAGCACAGCTCACAGTCACCCACTGTGGACCAACCCAGGCCCGCCAGTGGACAGTGGATGAGTGAGTAGATAAAGGAAATGTGTGTGTGTGTATGCACACAATGAGGTTTATTCAGCCTAAAGAAAAATGAAATTATGTCATTTGCAGGAAATTGGATTGAATTTGAGAGCATTATATCAAGCAAAATAAAGCAGATTCAGGTCAAGGTTTGTGTTTTCTCTCATGTGGAAGCTAGAGAGTAAAATGGAAATAAGGATCTTATAAAAATAGAAGGGAGCCATAGGGTAGAGGAAGAGGTCAGGAAGGGGTTGGGAGGTGCTAGGGAGTGAGATTGACCAGTGCTGTTCTTTGCATGTGCATGTGTCACAGTGAATGCAGTTTTTGTACGATTATTATGCACTAATAACACTTTTTAAACATTTATTTTTCAGTTGTAGGTTGACACAATACCTTTATTTTATTTTTATGTGGTGCTGAGGATCGAACCCAGTGCCTCACGTGTGCTAGGCAAATGCTCTTCCTCTGAGCCACAACCCCAGCCCCATTAATAACATTTAAAAAAAAAAAAAAAAAAAAAAGAATCTTTAGATGGGCCGGTTTGTGGCTCAGAGGAAGAGCAGTTGCCTAGCATGCGTGAGGCACTGGGTTAGATCCTCAGCACCCATAAAAATAAACAAATAAAATAAAGGCATTGTGTCATCTCCAACTTTAAAAAAACATTAAAAAAAAACTTTAGACATATAAAATTTGAAAGATCAAAGAATTAGTGACCAGCATACCTGTCTTGCTAAAAATAAAGTCCTTCAGGCATGAAGAAAATGGTATCAAATGGGAATAAGGATCTATACAAAGTAGTGGAAACTACCAGAAATTAATTATACATATACAGGTAATATAAAAACATTTTTATTTCTAAAAACTCTCTTTAAATGACTTTTTTTTGAAAGCAGGGATTTAACACAGGGGCACTTAACTGTTGAGCCACATACCCAGCCTGTTTTTTTATGTTTGATTTGAGACAGAGTTGCTTAGAGCCTCTCCAACTTTCTGAGGTTGGCCCCAAATTGGTGATCCTCCTGCCTCAGCCTCTGGAGCTGCTAAGATTACAGGTGTGCATCATGGCGCTGAACTAAAAGACACTGTGAAGCTGAAATGCCAGCAGTATATTGTGGATTTGTCAGATTCACAGGTGTAAAGCATGCAGTGAAGACAGCACATGCAGAAGAGTGAAGAACGATGTTGTGAGGTTTTTAGAGGCTGTGTGAGGCCAAGCAGTGTCACTTACAAGTAGGCTGTAGTCAGCTAAAGACGGTCACTGGAAACCTGAGGCAACCCTGAACAGTACAGAGTAAGTAACTGAGAAGTAGGGACACGTGCCCCAGGGTCTGTGACCTTGCTGATGTCCAGTCCACTTAGACAGTCAGAGAGAGGTATTGAAATCTGTGACTGTGATTCTGTACCCAGAATAGCTGAAACACAGAAAACATATATCAAGGTGATAGTTTCAGGGTTTCTGGTACTAGAGATTGAACCAGGGTCATTCTACCACTGAGCTACATCCCCCATCCTTTTTATTTTTTATTTTGAGGCAGGGTCTTGCTAAGTTGCTGAGGGTCTTGCTGAGTTACTAAGTCTGGCCTTGAATTTGATCCCCCTGCCTTAGCCTCCTGAGTCACTAGGATTATAGGTGCATGCCACTTGCACCCATCTCGTGGTGGTAGATTTAAGTCTAAGCACATCAGTGTTCTAAACACTGCAGTTAAACAATTCAGATTGTCAGATTAGATGAAAAAGAAATACCTACCATCGTCCTCAGTGTCCTCAAGGGTTTGGTCCAAGGCCCAGACCATGCCCAGGGTACTAAAGTCCGTGGACACCCCGGGGAGTCCTTTAGACACACAGTGCCATCTTGTCCAGCCCGCACACATCCTCCTGATGCCGAGTTGACCGCAGGTGGCATGTGGTGCCTGGGAGGGCATAAACGCTCCCTAGGTGGTGGCCACACAGCATTCAGTGGGTAATGACAGAAGGTTTGCACATGACACTGCAGGTGTGGAACCCAGGGATGCAGAGACTGTGTGTGCTGCCAGTGGGAATCACACTTAAATACAAGGACAGGTAAGTCGAAAGTAAATGATGGGAAAAGATAGGTAAGGAAGAAAGACAATGATGCCAACCATTCGTGTCAAAGAAAGTGGGTCTCAGAGCCAAGAGCTCTTAGAAAACGGAGAAGAATCAGGAGAGGATTGCAGTGTCCCCACGGGGTCATCCGTCAAGAGCACGTGGCGGTGCCAGGTGCCTCCATGCTGAGTGCCTGGCTGCCTAGGAGTACCTCCAGCACCCCGACTCACACAGCCACAGCACCACACAGGCCCAGTCAGCCAGCACTGTCTGCACCCCAATTTCAGAGTCCACGGAAGGAAGCAGTGAGTCCAGAGCTGGGACCCGAACAGTAACACCCACTAGAGTGACTTCAGAAGTCAGAATTCCCCAGAACCTGGAAATCAGGTGTGTACCCCAAAATAACCCATGAATCAAAGAAATGAGGAGTGGAATTGGAACGTTCTTACCAGACCAAAAATGCTGACTCGACTTGTCAAAAGTCGTGAGATGCCACCAGAGACGCCTTGGGGAAAGTCTGTAGCACCAACTGCCTGATTTTGAAAAAAGACTTCAAGTCAGTGGCCTCAGCTTCCTCCTTTAAAAAGAAATTAGAACAGGCACAGTGGCACACACCTGTAAACCCAGGGCTCGAGAGGCAAAGGCAGGAGATCACAAGTTCAAGGCCAGCCTCAGCAACTTAGGGAGACCCTGTCTCAAAAAATAAAAAGGACGAGGGATATGGCTCAGTGGTTAAGGACCCCTGGGGTCTAATCCCAGTACCAAATAAATAAATAAATAAATGAAATTTTTAAGAAGCAAAAAGCCAGACAAAAACAAATAGAACTTGAATAAAGCAAAAGAGAATGATATACATTGAGTAGAAATTGAAGATGAATTGCTGAGTAAAAGTCAGTCCTTTGAAAAGATGAGTGAAGTTGCTGAACCTTGAACCAGACTGATGGGGTTATAAGAAATGCGCTGCCCCCTGAATCCACAGGTGTTGGCTAACCGCATGCTTCACCTTCACTGGCCACTGGTACTCAGATATTTGGTCAGACCTTATTCTGGGTCCACTAAGGTCAACGATCTCAAAGAGAAAAATTGTTTGCACAGCAAGAACAAACCTATCCTGTGAAATTGCAAGAAAGGAAAAGGAAATTTGTTCTCGTTTTGCTGTGTTACCTTAAAACTGCAAAGGTTACGGCTACACCACCTGCTGAGTGCCTGGGACAGAGTGCAGGGGTGGAGGGGTCAGCCCCAGCACTGCATCTGCAGGAGAAAGCACACGTGCAGCTTGGCCCTGTCCACAGTCAGCATCCCACTGGGCACGGCAGTGGTTCAGTTTTCCCTGGAGAATTCTGGCTCATACAGCTATGAACAGATTACTGATTAATACAGCAACTTGCATAAACAACTTCCATATTTGTTGAAAGCACAAGTTGCTAAAGCTCCCTCAACAAAAAATCGTGCCTGATTAGCCATAGATCTGTTCAAGAATGAACTTCCAGTTAGAAACATCACCACCTTCCCCACAAAAAACCTCTGCTACACAGCGTTGCTGGTGAAATTTTCAGGAAAAGATGACACCAGTTCTACAGACTCTGGCTCAGGGAAGTTTAATTTCACACTCGTGGCCAGTGTTGCTAGGTCTGGTGGCTCATGCCTGTAACTCCAGCACCTCAAGTGGCTAAGGTAGGAGGATTGCAAGTTCAAGGCCAACCTGGGCAACTTAGACCTTGCATCAAAATAAAAATAAAAGGTCTAGGAATGTAGTTCATTGGTAGGGCGCCCCTGGGCTCCAGCCTCCGTACCATGAACAAATGAATGAGTGAGCAAGCAGCGGGTCGGTGCGCTGAGGACAGACTCCATTGCAGAGAGCTTCGGCACCTGAGAGCTCATCCTGACAGGACAGGTGTCCACTAGAGGACACTTGGGATTTCCAGTACTTGAGGTGACACTGTGTCTATGAAGCATAAAAATAAATGGAATGGCCTTTTTCCCTCCTAGTGTAGTTTTCCTAACTCCTGCCAGGGTCACTTGGGAGCACAGAAGTCCAAGTCTTGGAACAAAGTATCAGCAAGTTGAACATGCACGAGGCCAGGAAGCACTCCCCTCACATCAGCCAGTGTCCTTCACCTTACTGACAAGCTGAAGAGGAAATCCCAAGTGTCCTCTAATGGACACCTGTCCTGTCAGGATGTCCTTCCCCAGAGAAGCCTGCTCAGTGGTGAGGGCGCTCTCCTTGTGAGATCAGGACCCTGGCATTTCTGTGTGACACTGAGCAGGCCCTGGAGGATGATTAGTGTGGCGAGGCGGGAGAGGAGGGACCTACAGGGTGCGTGGGAGTCTGATGGACTCTTCAGGGCATCCTCAGGGCTGAGCGGTTTAGCAGGACAGAAGACATGAGGCTGGCGTGCAAAAACAAGCCACTCACGTCCTTTCACAGACACAGGTGGGGTGTTGGAATACCACTTAAAATAGCATCTAAATGTTTTAAGACCTCAGGGATAGATCAGAGGAGCTGTGCAGGACTGTCTGCTGGCCACTAGGGAGCGCTGATGGTACCTTCCCCAGCTCAGACTCAGTATAGTTTAGACGCCTGTTTTCTCCAAGTTGATGGATAAATTCAGAGCACATGCAGAAATGCACACCTGGATTTATACCTGACAGCAAGTACAAAGCTAACGCGAGATGGCCAGAGCCCAGACCACAGAACTTCAGGAAAGCACACAGAAGACTGCCCCGTCCTGGGAGGGTCATATGTGACCTATAGAGAAGAAGTTGACAGGCTAGACTTCAGTGAAATGAAACAGCTGTCAGGAGACACTGAAGACCACAGATGACAAGAAGCAGGTAGAGAGAAAACTCTTAAGCAAATCCTCCATCTTGAAAAGGACTGGTGTCCAGGTCTCCAGTAAAGAACTGCAAGCTCAGCAGGAAGATGGCCAGCCCTTTACCAAAGAACACAGAGGTGGCCGACCCTGGGAAGGCCATCAGCATTGGCTGTCATCGTGGGGGAGACGGCCACAGTGAGCTGCTACCACACACCTGTTGCAAGGGCCAAAACTTGAGAGGAAATGGAAAGCGGGCTTATATGCGGCTGTTCTAAGACGCGTACTGAGAGTTCATGGCATGTTGGTTACTGCCCAAAGCTGGAAACGGCCGTGTCAGTCAACAGAAGAATGGACAGAGAAACGGGGGGTATTCTTGGAGTAGAGCGCCCCCACTTGGACATAGGAAGGACCTACCCAACAACATGGATGGTCTAGGAGCCGTGGAAAAGGGCACAGGCCAAAGGAGTTCCTGCCACATGCTTCCCTGTGAGTGAGGACCAGTGCAGCAAGCCTGTGGCACCACTGGACATCACATGCATGTGGCTGATGGCACCACAGTTGTGCTCCACAGCACCTGGCAACAGTTGTAGACAGATCACCTGGACAGAGGCTTCTGGGATAAAGTTTGGCGATATGTGCAAATTTTTAATGAGGGAACTTTTATGTAGCAGTTATACAGATCCAAGAATTTATCCTCTGAAAGTAGGTGCTTGCACAAGCAGTGAATATCCTTGTAATGGCGAAGAAGTTTCATTGGTCCAGGGCCAACTCCATCTATGTTTAAACATGCCTGCCAGACCAGTTCCTGGGCAGGACCTTGCCCAGCCCAGCTGTGCCTGGAGGGGCTGCCAGGTCCACCCACCTCTGGGCAGCTCATCAGCCTCTCGAAGGCCAGCGGGAGGCCAGCTGAAGGCCAGCCAAGGAGTGGAAGGATATGCCTTTGTCAAGTAAAATGTAACCCTTGATTTTGGTTTCATTGCCACAAAATTTATGCTTGTTTTTAAGAGACTGATGGAAAAACTGATGGAATCTTTTGATCACATATCCTGTATTTTCATTATATTTTGAAAAATATGACTGTGGCCCATATCAAGAGCTGTTACGCATTAGAAGCAGATATTGGTAGATGTTTATGTCTGTTCTTCAAACTAACCCAGTGCATTCAAAGCTAAGTTTTTAACATCCTCTGCGTGATCATTTCTAGAACAGGAAAACCGGGAAGGACCAAACTAAACATGCCGGGAAACAGAGGCACACTGGGGCCAAGGACCTGCCAGGGGTGGCTGCCCTCACCATAGAGACGAGCAGCCTGGGTGCGTGAGTACCGGGGCTCAGAGCAGAGCGGCCTGCTGCACGTGGGTGCCAGAGATGCGGGCTCCCGCTCTGCTCAGGGGCCGGGCCAGGGCCTCATCCTGATTTTGGCTTAGGCACTCTATTCTAGACTCAGATTGTGGGTTATTTTTGGCCATTTGGGCTTTTAAGCAGTTGTAGACAGGTGTGTTTGAGACAGGTCTCAAACTCCTGGGCTTGAGCAGTGCTCCCTCCTCGGCCTCCCCAGTACAGGGGCTACAAGTGTCTGCCACCACACCTGGCTTATCACAGACATTTTTAAATCCCGTGTCCAGTACTCGAGGTGACACTGCATCTATGAAGCAGAAAAATAAATGGAATGGCCCTTTTCCCTCCTAGTGTAGTTTTCCTGACTGCCCCACACTGCTCAGGTAGGCATTCCCAGAGGCGTGCTGTGCTGGTGTCTGTGTGGTGGGCGTGCCCCAGAGCCTGTCTGCTGCTGCCTTTCAGCCATCAAGGCCTCGGTGCTCCGACTCCTGGCCTCTAACCAAACCCCTCTCTTCGCTCCAAACACAGCCGATGAAACCCAGACCCCCAAAGCAAGAGACAGGGAGTTCTTCAACCCAGTGCTGAATGAGAACCAGAAGCTGGCCGTGAGAAGGATCCTCAGTGGCGACTGCCGCCCTCTCCCGTACGTCCTCTTTGGACCTCCTGGGACTGGGAAGACCGTGACCATCATCGAGGCGGTTCTGCAGGTAAGGTCAGCAACTGGCTGCTTTGACTCCGTGCTGTGTTCCTGCGTCTCAGTCTGCAGGATGGGTCAGTTCGCACTGTGGTCAGAAGGGCTAAGAAGGCCAGCGCGCCATGGTCAAGCGAACTGGTGTGGATGCTAGGGTGGTGAAAGCCTACTTGGGGAGGTACAACTTAGTGTCCAGAACAGAACCACTGATCTTGTCACAGAGTCCTGCTGCAGAAGCTGCCTTGGCTATGGCTGAAGCTACCACTCTGCAGGAGCTGCCAGTGTCTTTTATATTTCAGATCAAATTTATGAAAATGCTGTGTATTGAGTATTTCTGTGCCATTCAGGGTTCCGTTAGCAAGCTCACCTGAGTGCCTGCTGGTGCCGTACAGTGGTGTGACCTGGTCCTGCCTTAGGAGGTGGTTTAGGACCATGGGGAATGCAGAGCCTCACCGCCCACCCTGGTGCCTGGGGACGCCTTGTGAGGCAGAACCCTGGCTGTGCTGTATTCAGGGGTCTCAGGGGTCGAGCCAGCATCTACGTCTGGCAAAGCAGCCTGTGTGCACTGCACATCAGGCCTGGGGTTTCTGCTGTGCAGGGTTGAGAGTTATGATCCTCGGTCTCTTGTGTCTTGGATGAAGGTACATTATGCTTTGCCGGACAGTCGGATTTTGGTCTGTGCCCCCTCTAACAGTGCTGCTGACCTCGTGTGTTTGCGACTGCATGAAAGCAAGATGCTGAGACCAGCCGCCATGGTCCGGGTTAACGCCACCTGCAGGTTTGAGGAGGTGAGCCCCAGGCATGGAATGGTAGCAGGCTGCCTCCTCAGCAGGTGCCCTGGGCAGGCAGGGGCAGGGGCAGGAGGGTGACAGCCCCAAGCCGCCTGCAATTCTGGTGTGCCCTGCACACCTTGCTCACTGTCACATTCCAGGTTGTCTGTCCTGACACAGGTGTCCTGAGCTTTCTTAAAGTTTTTTGTTCCTCTCTTATTTGACCTGCAAATGAATTGTTCTTTTTTAGTTCTGTTTTGTTGGCTTGGTTACAAGTAGAGCTTCAGGGAAATGGTAGGCTTTTGGTTTGCTTATAGACTGAAACGTTGCTTTAAAAAAAAATTGAAGCCAGGCTCAGTGTGGTGCACATCTGTAATCTCAGCCAATCAGGAGGCTGAGGCAGGAGGATCACAAGTTCAAGGCCAGCCTCAACAACTTAGCGAAAGCCTGTCTCAAAATAAAATTTTTAAAACGGGCTGGGGAAGTAGCTTAGTGCTGGAGCACAACGCTAACACATGAGGGGCCCTGGTTCCATTCCCAGACATCTCAAAAAATAATAATGAGTTAAGATGAGGAAATGTTTTTCCTGGAAGGCTCTGCAGGGGTATGTTATGTTCATGGCTCTAGAGCCCACAAGACATGGACTTAATCAATATGAAAATGTAAAACATGCTAATTAAGAAAAAAGCCATGGGGCTGGAGATACAGCTCAGTTGGTAGAGTGCTTGCCTGGCATGCACAAGGACCTGGGTTCAATCCCCAACACCACCACCAAAAAAAAAAAAACCCAGTCCTGAATCACTAGGTAGCTCCCTCCCTGGGAAGTGGCGAAGGGAAGATGATCTCAGAATTCATTTTGGCTTGGTCATTCTGCCCAGTTTAAAGGAGCACTTGATAATTTGAAGACCAAATGTGTTCTGCCTTCCTTGCCCTAGACCATCATTGATGCCATCAAGCCCTATTGCAGAGACGGGGAGGATATCTGGAGAGCATCGCGCTTCAGGATAATAATCACAACGTGCAGCAGTGCGGGGCTGTTCTACCAGATAGGAGTGAGGTGAGCACGGTGTTGGCAGGGACCTCTGTGGGAGGCCGCCTGCACAGAGGCCAGGTGGTGGGACAAGCAGCAGCCAGGACCAGATGACAGGCCAGGATAGCTTCGTCCAACTGAGGAAGTGGTATTTGTGCTGGGCCCTAGAGGCTCACACAGCCCAATAGAGGGACACACCCGCAGATGGATGAGTGCATACACAGATCCTGTGGTTAGAGGGCCCCAAGCATTTTACCCAGAGGGGCCTCTGAAGCTGGAGCCTGTGAACCAAAGGAGTGGCAGGAGGGGAGCTGGAGAGGAGACTGTGTCCCAGGGATTGAGGTCCAGGGAGGCACTGGACATGGCCCCTGGTGTGGCAGGAAGGTTCCGAGGCCTCTGTACATGGGGGTGAGTTGCTTAGAGGATGTGAGGAGGCAGGACACATAGGAAGTAGTTGGGCGCTGAGGTCCAGTTCTGTGGACCTCAAGCCCCTGGTGCGTGGGCTGTGGGGTGGTGGAGTAACGTGGGGTGCCCTGTTGACCAGAGGCACTTCTGCTGGACTCCGAGCTGTAGGAGGAGGCTGCCTGAGACGCTCGCTCAGTCACTCAGTGCTGTGGGAGGGAGGCAGGGACAGTGAGGGCCGCCAGGTGGTGGGCAGCAGCTGAGGTGCCAGGGATCCCCACCTTCCCCTGACACATGAGGGCCAGGCTGTGGCCTCTGGCGGGGGCAGCCTGAGGCAGTGGTTGTGAGGGTGCCTGGCCATGGACTCCAGGCCTCTGCCAGGGTCACAGGGAGCTGCATCCAGGAGTCACAGTTGAGCCCCTGCCTGCTGGCTCCTCTCACCTCAGAGAGCACGCCGTGCCCATGCCGGGGGAGTGACGGGGCAGACGGTGATTGTTTTTCAAGGACCAGAGTCTTAAAAACCCCATCTTCACCCTCATAACATGGCGTGTTTCTGGCTCGCCACCTGAAGTGCCCCAGGGCCACACGTGGCAGCTGAGGTCCCTGCATAGGATGGGGCAGGTCTGGACAGGGTAAGGGACTTTATCAATGCGTTGGTGGCCTGGAGGTGGAGAGGCTTCAGCAGAGACAGCCCATCCTTCTCTTGTTCAGGTCTGGTGTCATTGGGGTGCAGGTTTCGTGCAGGGCAGGGTAGCCTGGTGTGCAGAGCGTGGGTGCACCAACGTCCAGGTCCCAGGGGAAGAGGTGCCTGGCTGGGCCAGCTGCTGTGCTGGTGACAACCCAGAGCTGCGGCTATGAAGCCCTACAGGACAGAGGGGGCAGTGTCTTCTGAGAGAAGTGCCTTTAAGTGACACCAGCTAATGCAGCACTCGGCTTCGTCCTCCTGGGCTGGGTTAGTGTCCAGCAGAGGTGGAGAGCGCGGTTCACCTCCTCGTCTCTCACAGGGGCCCGACTCTGGCCACAGTGGGAGGTGGGAGCGAGGAGCCTCCCTGGCACTTCTGACTTCGGGTTTGATGTCCTAGTGGACCATTGAGGCTTGGAGGCCAGTTCAGCGCATGCAGTGTCCCCTCCACCCTGGGCACCGTCCTGCTCTCACCACGGCCGTGCCACCTAGAGACCGCTGGGTGTGTGGTGAGAGGCCGGGGTGGCTGGCGGTACCAGTCAGGAGGAGGCGCCCAGGCCACCTGCTGCCAGCTGCCCAGTGTTGCTCCTTGGCCAGTCTCCCCTCACTCCCAGGGAAGCAGGCAGAGAGGCGGAGCAGCCATCCTGGGGTTGCAAGCTCACTCACGGTGGGGAGGCTGAGCCTGATGGAGCTCTGGGGAAGCTGCTGCAAGGCCATGCAGTGTTCTAAGGTGCTCAGGCTTTGTCATGCCCACTCTCACACTGTCCTGTCCATGTCCTTTTGAGCAACACACAGCACCAGGCACTGATCTGTCATGGGCTCTCCTTGCCAGCCTGTACCTAGTCATTCAGCCGGGGAGGCAGGCACACGGCCCTTCTGGGTGCCACTTGACCACAGGTGCAGAATGGGGCCTGGCCCCGGGTGCTAAGAGCCATGATGGGCATGACCACTCAGACACCTCTGCTTCTAGAGTCGGACACTTCACCCACGTGTTCGTGGACGAGGCCGGGCAGGCGAGTGAGCCAGAGTGCCTCATTCCTCTGGGGCTGATCTCCGACGTCAGCGGCCAGGTAAGGCCTGTGTGCAGCTGCACACTCTGTCTCGTTCCCCGGTCTTCCCTTGGCCGGGCGGCTGCAGCGGTCGTGGCTTCGGGCCAGGAGATCGCACCAGGCCTAGCAGAGGGAGCTCAGTGCTGCTTGCTGCAGCGCAATGCGGGGCGGCTGCCATGGTGGGGTTTTTCACTCGAAAAACGAAGTGAAGAACATTCTAGGTGTTGGAGACCCAGTGGCAAAGTCAGCAGCTGCTCCCTGCCCTTGGTGATCCCCCCGCCCCCGCCCCGTGCCAGAAGGCAGGGCTGGGCCTTGTGCCTGCTCCCTCTGGGCTGCTCTGGGCCTCTCCCCTCTGACCCCCAGCCCTCCTGCTCCATGTGCGTGTCAGGCCCACCTGCTGCTTCCTGTGGAGCTTCTGGATTCATCTTAAACCCCTGTTCCCTGCACCCCTCGCAAGGAGCAGTCATCTAGACCTGCCGTGTGGGAGTGGGCTCCTTGTGAATAGGAGGGGTGAGAAAGCCCCTCCCTTTCTCCTCCAGGGGCACACCCGCCTCCTCTCAGGTCCCCAGACTGGGCAGAGCACGGGAAGGTTAGGGAGGAAACAGGGGCTGGTCTAGTCGGACCTCCAGCCTCCAGGCAAGACAGACAGGGACAGTCAGCCTGATATGGCCACATGTGGGGCCTCCCCAGGACGGAGTGCTATCCACTTCCCTGCCCTCTGGAAGTCCTCGTGGGTCCAGCAGCACCCTCTCTGTCTCTCATGCATCCACGGTGGACGTGGGGCCCCCTGCCTGCACAGCCTGACCCTGACCCGGGAAGCCAGCCTGCTGCTCTCCCAGGTGCTCCTCCTGAGGTGGGGACCAAGTGCCGCGCTGGTCCCCATCAAGCCCTCGTGTGTGCCACAGATTGTGCTTGCCGGAGACCCCATGCAGCTTGGCCCCGTCATCAAGTCCAGGCTGGCCATGGCCTACGGGCTCAACGTGTCCATGTTGGAGAGACTGATGTCCCGTCCAGCGTACCTGCGTGACGAGAGTGCATTCGGTGCTTGTGGCGCGTACAACCCCCTGCTGGTGAGTCGGCCAGGCCTATTGAGTGGCTTGAGCACTGCGGGGCAGGAGTAGCCCAGGATGGCAGGCCAGCAGGGGAGGCTGCCACACTGCTGTCCGCCTACTTCCCCTTGTCCCCTGGCTGTGGCTGTGAGCGGGCACCCCTGTCTGCCATGCCCAGGAGGCCTGGAGCGTGCACCTCCTCCACAGGAACACCAGTGTCCTCCACCCGCCCACACCAAGGCTGCACCCTGAAGCAGGGGCCAGCACGGATGCCTGTCAGCGCATGGGACGCTTTGCCCGCTGCCCTGCCTCCCAGATGGGATTTAGGCACTTGCATCCGCTCTCCTTTCCCAGGAGCCATGCAGTGCGCCTCACAGGGCCTGTGCTGGGGCCAGGGACACCAGGCAGCCTGGCACTGATGGCAGGGGTCTTTGGGGTCCAGGGCAATGGGAGCTAACTTGGAAGTGCCCCATCGCAGCAGGAGAAACGGGAACTGGTTCTGTTACTCTGACTAAAATAAGAGGAGATCTGCCGGGAAAGGCTGTGGGAGTGTCTCTGGTGAGCTCTTCTGACTTGAGGTGCTCATCCGACTGGGGCAGCCCTGTCACACTGAACCCAGGAGCCTTGGGTCTGTGGGGCCTGTTGCAAGACAGTGAGAAACTGCCACAGTACCCCCCAAAAAATGCCCAGCATGGTGGCCATATGCCTATGATCCAAGCAACTCAGGAGGCTGAGGCAGGAGTATCACAAGTTCAAGGACAGCCTCATCAACTTAGCAAGAGTCTCTCTCAAAATAACAGCTGGGTGTGCCTCAGTGGTGGAGTACCCTGAGTTTAACCCCTAGTACCACCAAAAAAACTATTCTCCTAAACAGCTATGTCATTCCATTACTAACGTGCCATGATACAAAAAGAAGACAGGTTTCCATCTGAGGGTGGATTCCTGGTGTGGGTGAGGTACAGTGCTCATGAGAGGCTTGGGGAAAGGGGCTGGAGCCTCCTGGGGCCTTCACCTCACTGAAATAAGAGGGGTGAGTCTGTAGGAGGGGTATTGGGGATCTTCGGGCTGAGGAGGGCCTCGCAGGCTCACCCACCTGAAAGGCACCCACTGTGGGAGGAGTGGACCACCCAGAGTGGCTGCCCCAGGAGGTGAACTAGATAGGGTCCTGAGAGCTCTGCTGCCAGGGGAGGGGCAAGCCGTGCTCCAGCCTCCTGGGCACCTGCCAGCGGCCTCTGTGGGAGAGCTGCTGCTGCCTGCCAGCCCTGCCACACCACCTGCAGGTGCGCCCAGCAGTGGCCCCAGGCACCAGGAGCCTCACGGGCCCAGGGCTTGGTTCTAAAGCTCCCGTCTGCACACTGAGAGCAGCTCAGGGCACGTGGCTCTCAACATGCCCCAGGCCCTGTGCTGCTCTGGGCTGGTGGTGTGGTGGACAGGTGAGGTCTCGTGTTGTGATTGGCTTCTTGGAAGCGGGACACATGTCCTGCTCCCTGGATTAACAAGTCCCTTGCCCTGGGTCAGCAGTCCAGAGCATTTGCCAGGAACCAGGGAAGAAGCGTGTAAGGTAAGCACGTGAACTTTGCAGACCAGATGGAGGAGGAGTGTGGAGCCGTCCTCACAGCGTACCGCCCATCAGGGAGGGCACCGCCGCTCTGCCTGCCTGCCTGCCTGCCTGCCATCCAGCGGAGGTGCAGGCGGACAGGGCTGGCTTAAGGGCTGGGGTCATGAGACTGGGTCCAGAGCGAAGCAGACGGCACACAGTGGTGTGTCTGGAGCCGTCTGTGCCCCTTGGGAGATTCCCAGCCTGTTAGGACCCAGGAGAGGAGCAGTCCTTGCTGTTAAATAGACCCTTGCGGAGACCGTCATCTGGGGAGCTCGTGTGGTGGAGGTTTCAGGCTCAGGGAGGCACAGGCAGGAGTGGGGAACTGCCCTGGGGAGTGGACGAGCTCCAGTGCTGCCTCCCCTAGCGCTCTGCACCTGTCCTCTTCCTGCAGGTCACAAAATTAGTGAAGAACTACAGATCCCACTCGGCCCTGCTGGCGCTGCCCTCTCGGCTTTTCTATCACAGGGAGCTTGAAGTCTGTGCAGACCCCAAAGTGGTGACCTCTTTACTGGGCTGGGAGAAGCTGCCCAAGAAAGGCTTCCCTCTCATCTTCCACGGGGTGAGGGTAAGTCACACCTTGGACCACGGATGCTCTGCGCCAGCCAGGCAGGAGGTGCTCACCTCTGTCCCCTGTGTGTGGCCTCGTTGTGTCAGGGACTAAGTAGTTTCTCAAGAGCCTGGGGAGGGGCAGAGGGATGCTCATGATCTCCAGGAGCAGCAGGCAACAGGAGGACTGCCGCCAGCCTATCCTGTGGGACAGCTCAGGAGTGGCCTGCAGGGTGGACCTCCCAGGGCAGCATCTTGTGATGCTCACAGTAGTCGAGCACTGGTCCCAAGAAGAGGCCCAGGCTGACTGACCGCCCATCAGAAGGCCGGGGAGGCACGGCGGGCAGGACACGGGAAGCGGGGCCTAGGAAGCTTGCTGCCCAGCAGTGCCCACCCACCCTGCAGAGCACATCCATCAGCACCGGAGTCCCAGGTCAGGGGAGACCCCAGGTGACAGCCTCCCTCTCACCAGGGCCTCACACAGGGAGGGGCTGGATACTCAACAGCTAAACACAAGTTCAGCCGTTCACTGGAGCCAGACAGATTAGGAGTTAGGTTTCACAGGCACTGCCAAAGAAGGAGGTTTGAGAGCTGGGACAGCACCAGACAGGACAGGGGGCACTGGTGCAAGGGACCCCTCCCGTGGCAGTGAGAGTCCAGGCGGCAGCTCCACACAACACAGCCCCTGCATGGTTCCTCTCTAAACCCTTGTCAAGAAACGTGTTTGAGGTCCATTTGTCTTGGGTGGCTTAGAGTCCAGTGGCTGGTGGAATCCCACCCTCACAGGGGAGAGGAATTGAGAGAGGTCTGCTCTGAGGCTGTCCCTCCCCGACAGCCAGTGCTCCTGAGCCCTCAGTTACCGCCCACTGCCTGGCTGACTCTGCACACCCTCAGAAGCTGCCTGTGCATCAGAAAAACAATGAGAAACTGTATCCTAGGGGACCCCTCTGAAGTGTCTCGAGGTGGGCCCATGCCTCTGTCAGGCCCAGAGTGCTATCCAGACAGATTTCCCACAGGCAGTTTTAACTGGGCGTCCAGATGAAGCCCAGAGTTCCAGGAAGTCATGTGGAGGCGAGAGGTGGTCACTGCAGCAGGTCTACACAGTCCTTGCAGGTGTGAGGGTGAGGTGTGGCAGCCCAACAGGCCTCATCTAGCTGACCCATGGGGAGGTGGTCATCAGGGGCAGCCATATGAGGCAGAGATCTAGGTGGGCCGCAGGAGAGCTGGGAGGAGGTGCAGGACTGGGAACTGTCAGGGGCTGAGCCCTGCTTCTGGTGTGAGGACGTCCAAGTGCATTCCCATGGACGCTGAGGCAGTGTAGACTTGTGCAGGCTCCCTGCAGTGGACTGATTGAGTAAGTGACGTCTAAATGCCGACTCGTCTGCAGGCATTGTTCTGAGGATGAGGTGGGGTGATCCTGCCATCCTGCTGCTGCGGCCCACTCCCACCCTTCCTGGCCCTTGCTCCCTGCACACTCAGGCTCCCTCCCCTGAGAGGAGATAGACCTCCACTCGCTGGCTGCCCATCCCCTGCAGACCTCGGGGGCAGTGGTCCATTTGCTGTGCCCACCCAGCCCCTCGGGTCTAGGCAAAAGGAGAGGGTCTCCATGGCACCCACGGGCAGGGCTGAGTGCTGCTGTCTCACTGCCCTGAGGAAGCCAAGGCTCTCAGATCTCGGACTCTGCTGCCTCTGGATTTGACCACAGTGTTGGGCAGGACAGTAAGGCTTAAAGCATTGACCATCTGGGCACAAAGGCCAGGCTGCAGCCTCTGCTTCAGCTGGAAAGCCAGCTCATGCCTGTCCTCTGCTCCATTGTTTGCAGCATGTCATCTTCACCCTGGTCCCTTCCTTGGCTGACCTCTGGTTTCTTACTGGCTTTTAAGTCCCCCTCCCCTCTAGTCTTCCTCCGCCTGCCCTCCCAGACCTGTGACTTCTCAGGGACTTTCTTTTCCATTCAAGGGAAGTAGAACTCTAGGGCCCAGCTTTCCCGCTCCTGGGCATTTCTCCAGAGTCACTAGATTAGCCTTCTGTGGAGGCACAGCCACACCAGTGCCTGTAGCAGCCCAGCCCTCCTAGGCAGGCTGGGAACCAGCCCAGGTGCCTGTCAGTGGAGAGAGGATCAGGGATGGGGCACATGTACCCCAATGAGTCGTCCAGTCATCAGGAAGACTGGGGAATCAGGGGGCGTTTCCCCTCCTGTGTGGAACTAGAGCACAATAGGCAAAGAAGGCCTGGGGAGGGAACCAGATGTCACAAAGGGAAGATCGGTGGCGGAGAAGGAGGGGGGAAAGGGGGGAAGGGGGTCCAGTTCAGCTGTGTGCATATGCAGATGTTCCACAGGGAATCCCACCTTCATGAATCTCTGCAGAGCACCGCTCAAAAGGAGGATCGGGAGAGCAGAGGCAGGAGGACGGGAGGAGGGCGGAGGGAATCGGACGCAGCACACATTCCGCGCAGGCACCATTTGTCAGGAGCCCAACTTCTATGCACAACTTAACGCTCTGATTAGAAAAGTACCAAGGGAAGCAGAAAATAAAACACTCCATTTGAAATGGGGAAAAAAAGGATGGTGGAGAGTAATTTTCTTAATTTCCATGTGACAAAGAATTTTGTATACCTCATTTTTTCTATTTCTGATTTTATTAAGTTCTGATCAAGGACTTTGGCCTGTAAACTCCTGCATTTAGAAAAGTGTGGCCAGTTAGGTGTCAGCTTTGGTCATTGTCCCAAGTCTGTCCTGTGGGAGTGTGCCAGCTGCTCTGTGCCCTGCTCGGGACAGGCCTGGTGTGGCCCACGCTGTGTGTGACGGAGAACTTAAAGCCAGCTTCTCCTGCAGCTTGGCTCAGGCTGGCGCCCACACACAGGCCCCATCTCGCCCTCCTGTGCGGTTCTCCGTGGCAGCCAGGTGCTACTCTCACACCGTACCAGCCTCTGCCTGAGGAGCGACCTCAGCTCCCTTCTCCTGTGTTACTCAGGGTCCTCTCCACCTTTCCTGATGTTTCCAGTTCAGCATTTGCTGTTCCTCGGATTTTTCCTCCTCAGTGTAGAAGTTCTGCTCTAAGTTTGCATTCTTAGTCTTTTTAAAACTTTACTTCAGTTGTTCATTGTAAATCTGAAGGGATAAGTTACATGTAGCTTAACAGAAAAAAATTCTGAAAAGTAGTAAATTTTTGTTGCCTTACATGGTGTTTGCTTTTTAAAATTGGAACCTAAATACACCTAACAAAGTCTCCCACGTGAGCCATCCTGAGTGTGGAGCGAGCGCTGTTAGTATGTGTGTCTTGCTCTGTACCCAGCGTCCCAGAGCCTTGTCATCTTGCTAACCCAGATGCTCCCCAGTGAACGCGGGCACCCTGCCCTCCTTTCCTGCTTCCTGCAGGACAACTGGGAGGAGGAGCAGAACTGTGTGTGTGAGACTCACTTAGGAGTGAGGGTCCGTCACCCGTGGGACCTCTGCGTAGAATGGCAGTCTTGGCTCTGCCACTGAGCTGGTGTCCTCTGGGTTCATCCAGGTCCTGGCGTGGGTGTCAGAATTCCCTTCCTTTTAAGGGCTGAACACGGGAGCCCGCGCGCCTGTCACCCCAGGGACTCACCCCAGGGACTTGGAGGCTAAGGATCGTATCGCAGGTCCCAGGGGGCCTTGGCAACTTAGGGAGTCCCTGTCTCGAAGTAAGAACAGGAGCCGGGGCCGTGGCTCAGTGCCGAGCCCCGGGGGCACCTTCCCCAGCTTGCCCTCGAAGCACCCGCTGCTGTGGCCCACTGCGTTTTGTTCACCCCCCTGTCCATCAGTGGACACTTAAGCTCTGGACACTTGCTACTAGTTTTAAAAAGACTAAGAATGGAAACTCAGAAGTGCTGCTGTGAACGTGGAGAGTGTGGAGGCTCTGGCGGGAGTTCTGGGGCCTTTCCTGCTCTCCACAGCAGCTGCGCTGTCCGGCTCCTTTCTCTCCATCTCTTGCACCACTTTACATCTCTACCAGCAGCGCACAAGAGTTCTCTTTTCCCCATATTCTCACCAACAGTGTTTTCCCTTTTGTTTTTTTAATAGTATCATTCTGTGGCCATGGGTAGGTTTTTTTTAGTGTGTTTTGCAGTACTGGGAACGGAAAACCCAGGGCCTCCCACGTGCGAGGCAACTGCTCTGCCACCCAGCTGTTTCCCCAGGGAGACAAGTTTTGCTAAGCTCCTCAGGCTGGCCTCAAATTCCTCCTGCCTCCACCTCCCAGGTAACTGGGATCAGGGCTGTGGCCACATGCCCAGCACAGGGCGGTTTGGGTTTGCGTCTCCCTAGGGATTGGGGATGTTGGGCAGCTTGTCCTGCCCTTTGTCTTCTGTGGAGAAATAGCAGGTCCTTGGCGTGCACTTACTTGGTTGTGGGTTTTGTCGTTGAGTGGCATGAGTTCTGAACGTATTGGGGACATTTTCTCCTGTCCCAGACTGTCTCTGCACTCAGGATTGTTCTCTGGTGAGTAAGTTTAGTTTTGAGGTCATCCATTTTTCTGGTGTTTTATGTTGCTTTCTGTGCTTCAGCATCACATCCAGGATGTCACCACCAGCTACAATGCTAGGAGCTTCCTCTGTGTTCTCTTGTAAGCACCTGCAGACCTGGGCTTGTTCAGCCTCTTGTCCATCTTTAGTTAGCACCACACGGGCCCAGATCAGGCCCAGCTTTGCCCTCTCGCAGGTGCACATCCAGTCTGAGTCATCTGCTGGGAAGACTGTCCTCCTGGTGGCCTTGGTACCCTTGCTAAGGACACTGAACTGTGTGTGTGAGACTCACTTATGAGTATCCTGTGTCTTGGCCTGTTTGTCCCTAGAGCAGTGCGTTCTTCATGCTTCAAGGAAGAGTTTCTCAAGTTGAGAAATGTCATCTGTTCTCTCCTGGGAATGATGCAGAGAGTGACAGCTGCCCTCCCTATAGCCAGGGGCTGGCTGGAGTGGGCAGGACGCGAGCACCTAGCTCTTGGTGGACTGCCGGGTCTGTGCCACTGGCCGCAGCTGGCTGGTTCCTGTCAGGCCACGCTGTGCGCTGCACATGGCTCCCAGGCTTCGGGCACATGGCCTTTCCCCTTGTGGGCCGTGAACCCTCCTGTGTCAGGCCCTGCGTGGCCTCCCGCCCAGCCTGCTCCTTGACTGCCCATCCTGTCCTCGGTGGAGCTCCCTGAAGGAGTTCTGCCCTGGCCTTCCACCCATCAGCCCTGAGGCAGGTTGTACGGCGTGGTGTGATTGCATGACAGTTTAACACTTGCCCTCCTAGACTGTAAGCCCTGCGTGAGACAGAGGCTTTCTTTTCTTTTTCTTTTTCTTTTTCTTTTTCTTTTTTCTTTTTAAGAATGTGACCTCTATTTTAGTTGTTGTTGTTCCTGATGTGGTGCTGAGGATCCACCCAGGGCCTCCCAAGTGCCAGGCAAGCGCTCTACCGTTGAGGCCCAGCCCCAGCACCCGAAAGAGGGACTTTCTTTCTGTCAATTCAGTGTGTGTTTTGAACATCAGGGATCCCGATCCTTGACGGTGGGCCCGGGGTGATCGTCACTGAGTCAATGAAATCTTCTCTCCTCGTTCCCTCAGGGCAGCGAGGCGCGGGAAGGAAGAAGCCCGTCATGGTTCAACCCCGCCGAGGCTGTCCAGGTCATGCGCTACTGCTGCCTGCTGGCCCGGAGCGTCTCCAGCCAGGTGTCTGCCAGGGACATCGGTGTCATCACGCCTTACCGGAAACAGGTGTGCCCGCAGGGACGTCCCTTGTTCCACAGTCCCTGGGGCCCAGGTTCCCCATTTTGTGGAGTCTGTAGAAGGCAGAAACAAACTCATTGTGAACAGCAGCAGGTTTTTAGAGAAGCAGGACCATGTTCGAGTGCTCTGGAGGGAAGGTCCGCAAACTGCTTCCCCCAGCCATCCCTGCTCTGCAGAGCTGAGCTTGCTTCTGTTTCCAACTTTTAAACTTCTGTTTAAAACTTTGCATAAGAATCTGTGGAATACCCTGGATATTTGGCCCTTTAAGGAGAAGCTCGCCAACCCCACCGTCAACCGGTGTTTCTCAAAAGGGGTGGTGTGTCATCCTTGGAGGGGACTGTGCTTGTTCCATGTGGCTCTTCCACCTAGGTACAGGATGGTGGGTGGCATTACCCTGTGTTGTGGTTAGCATTTACATCACTGTGACAAATGACTTGACAAAAATGATTCATCGTTTATTTGGGGCTCACAGTTTCAGAGGTTCAGTCCGTAGCTGGCCGACTCTGCAGTTCTGGGCCCACAGGGAGGCAGCAGGCCATGGAGGAAGGGTGTGGCAGAGGGAAGCAGCTCGGGACCTGATAGCCAGGAAGCAGAGAGAGCTCTGCTCACCAGGGACAAAGTATAATTCCAAAGCCATGGCCCCTGTGTCCCACATCCTCAGTGATCCTCCAGTCACACCCAGTTAATCCCCTCAAGTGGGTCCGTCCACTGATGAGGGTCCCTCTGGTGAATGATCTCTTCACTCTAGACTCCCGCATCGCCTCACACCTAAGCCTCTCCCCAGTCAGGCTCTCCCTGAGTTGTACAACAGCCCTGCACTCCTGCCTGGCCTGGAGCCCTGGTGAGCTTCAGTCACTGAGCGCTGGCTCCTGGCGGGTACAAGCCGCCCAGGCCTGGGGAGGAAGCCCCGGGGAGGCAGGCAGCTGCCGACCACATAGGTGAAGGTCAGAGGGCATGCCCTGGTGTGTGCCCTGCGCAGAGCCCTTCGGCCAGGCTGTGTCTCTCCTGTGCCTGAGGTTGAGCCGAGTGCCTGGCGCTCCAGCGGCAGCGGCCATGAAGGCTGGAGCAGGTAAGCCTCTGTGGAGGGGCCCAGGCAGCCTGCCCTCAGGGCTGGGCTGGGCGGCCTGCTCGCGGCTCTGTGTGTCCACTGGGCCGAGTTCAGGCGTTGGTGAGCTCTGATGACTCCTGACGTGAATTCTTCTCATTGGGCCTTTCCCGGCCAGTCTTTCTCACTTGACTTCTTTTGCTGCTTTCTCTGTTTCTGTTTGTTTGGGGGTTTTGTTTGTTTGTTTGTTTGTTTTTTAAGTGGTGGTAAATGTAAGAAGCCTGCAGTTGGGAATGCTGAAGATGTCAGCCCTGGCTGCCTGAGTCCCTTGGGGTGGAGCCTCTGGTCCTGTGCATGGACATTGTCCTTCCTTGCCATCCCTGCAGCCACAGGACCACTGTCCTCTGTGTGGACACGTCCTTCTTGCTGGCTATGGGTCCCTGGGTATTCGTCCTGCTTGGGGTTTGTGGAGCTTCTTGGCTGGCTGTGATCTGATGTGACCCTTCCAGGGTTTGTGGGCTCGGGAATCGCACTTCTCAGTCTGAGGCATGTGGCTGGTCCCATGACAGCTGCTCTTCTTGCTGGGACTTACCGCAGTCCTCATGCTGCCTGAGGGTTTGTAGCATGGTCTCCTGTAGTTCCCTGGACCCGTGGTTCACCTGGGGATACTCCCAGTTCCTGCTATGCATTTCTTCTCGAGTGTGGGTCACATACTTAGATTCTTTGCATGTCTTATAATTCTTTGTTGAAAATGGAATTTTAGAAAATTTTTACAACTTTGGAAGCCAGGAGCAGTGGAGCACGCCTGTGATCCCAGCAGCTCGGGAGGCTGAGGCAGGATGATCGTGCGTTCAAAGCCAGCCTCAGCAACGGCGAGGTGCTGAGCAACTCAGTGAGATCCTGTCTCTAAATAAAACACACAGCAGGGCTGGGATGTGGCTCCGTGGTCGAGTGCCCCCGAGTTCAATCCCCAGTACCAAAAAAAAAAAAGTAAAGAAGATGTTACAACCCTGGGTCCTGATTCCCACTGGTGGTCATCCATGTTGTGCTTTTGCTGGCTCCTTTGTGCCGTGCCTGCCTGCACTCGGCTTGTCCTGTGCTTGTTGAGGTTTCGTTTTGTTCTGCTTGAGCTGAGGGCAACACAGCTTGGCGGTTGGCGGGTGTTGCCCGGCAGTGGGCAGCAGTTGTGCTTACCACCAGGAGCAGGTAAGACTGCCCTCTGCTGGCGGAGGGTCTCCTGACCTCAGCCTCACCTCCCAGGGTGGGGCTCAGCCCTTCTCTGAGGTCACTCTGCACGAGTCCCTGGGCCTGGCCTTACCCCAGAACAGAGCACGGCTGTCTTCACCCACGTGCGGAGTTCCAGGCATCAGCACCTCTCAGGTTGAGCGCCTCTGGTCTCCAGAGCTCCCAGCGGTATGTCAGTTTTTTCCAGCTACATGACTGCTTTGGACGCACCTGGCTAGCGCCATCCTGCCTGCCACGTCCTGACCTGGAGCCCTCAGGCACACCAGCACGGCCCAGGAAAACCAGCCCATGTGACACCAGGCTGGTCCAAAAGCTCGGGCCCGCCCTTGTGGCTGCGCTCAGGCACGGGTCCTTGAGCCACGTGGCCCTGAGCCAGGTGAAGCTCCCAGGGCTTCCATGCTGCCCTAGTCTCTGCACAGCCAGCTCGGCTAGTTGCCTGCTTCAGGGTCTGTCCACTCAACTGATTTCTCTTGGGGACCAGTGAGAGTCCACCCTCTACCATATTCCACACACAGTCTAGCACATGTGGGCCTGGGAGCCCTGAGCTATGGAGAGGGGTGAGTCATGGCTCTGGCAGGAACAGCGAGGTCGTCAGTGAAGGTGGCACCTGCTGGCAGCAGGTGGCTAGTTGGCTGAGAAGTGCTGCAGGCAGCTTCTGCAGCCTCCCTACTCCCAACCCTGATCCAGCACAGCCCTGGCCAGCCTTCAGAGCCCCTGCCTCCACTGGCCGCTCCTCCTGCAGGTCCCATTGACCCCCACGCTGTCTGCTGTCCTGCTGGGCTCTGCCACCCTCTCAGCCTGGGACTGGCAGACAGGCTGGGCCTGGGTCGGCCAATCTGGGCACAGGCGCGAGCATCCCCTGTAGGTGTCTGAGGTGCAGCCAGTCGGGGGGCCGTGCTGCCCTCTCGCATCTTCGCAGCCTTTGCCCTGCACGTCTCCTCACCCCCTTCCCTAAGGCTGGGTGTAGGCATGGCTTGCAGGGGACGCAGAGGCCGTGCTCTGAGGTGACCTGGCTGGGTGACAACGGGTGCTGAGGGCCTCCCTCTCCAAGGCACATGCTGCTGGGACTGCCTAGGGGTGGGCATGGGGGCCTCCTTGAAAGGGCAGTGCATTGAGAACCTCTCTCTGCTCACGGCCCTGGATTCACTGTTGCCTGGGCAGTTGCTCCGTGTGATGCCCATCTAGGTGGAGCTGTGTCTAGTTCTGTCAGCGGCACGTCTTTCCACATTGTTCTGGGCTCTGCCCTTGGGGGCTGAGTTAGGGGTCTCATCCAGCTGCACCTAGCTTTGCCGTTGGTTGGGGTGTTTCTGATTCTTGCATAGTTGGACATGCACTCGCTGGTGGCCTTCAGTCTGTGGGCGTATGCTGTCCCTCAGGCCTCCATCTACCCGCCGCCTCCTGGCTGTGTTGGTCTTATCTGTTGCCCACTCTGCTCTCCAGAGGTCCAGCTGAGCTCACTCCTCACCACACGCCGGCTCTCCACGGGTGTCATCCCACCGCAGCCCCTGGCACCTCAGCCAGCTCCTCCTGCCCCAGCAGCGCTGTCCCTGAGTTAGGTGGCTGCTTCCTGCCTTGCTCACCTCCTGTGCTCTCCTTGGTGGTCACACTTGCTGGAGCTCAGCCCCACGGGGTGTGCAGTCCCCCAGAAGGGGCCTAGCAGAGGTCCTGGGGCCTGCTGCCATCGTGGTGCACAGCCCACCTGTGAGCAGCAGTGCACCCTCTCATTTCTTTTTTTTTTTTTAAGAGAGAGTGAGAGAGGAGAGAGAGTGAGAGAGAAAGAGAGAATTTTTTTTAAATATTTATTTATTTTTTTAGTTCTCGGCGGACACAACATCTTTGTTGGTACATGGTGCTGAGGATCGAACCCGGGCCGCACACACGCCAGGCGAGCGCGCTACTGCTTGAGCCACATCCCCAGCCCCCTCTCATTTCTTAACCCCTGCTCCTGGGAGAGGGCAGGTGTTCCACAAGGAGCTGAGCCCTCCTGACGAGCAGTTTATCCCCACTGAATTAGACTGAAGTAGATGTGGTGCGTGACTGCAAGCAGCACTGCACGTGGGCTAGCATTTGCTGTACACCAAGATGAGAAAGAACTGATCGGGTTATCTTTAACATTTCAACCTCTTTTAAAGGTGGAGAAAATAAAAATTCTTCTGCGAAATGTTGATTTGATGGACATAAAGGTTGGATCAGTAGAGGAATTTCAAGGGCAAGAATATTTGGTCATTGTGATTTCAACGGTAGGTATCGCTGTCTTGCAGCCACCTCGCTGTTGTGGGGGCTGAGAACCTGGGGTCTAAAGCAGCAGAGCTCGATGCCTGCCCTAAACAAAGTACAAGGCGAGGCCTTCCAGGCCCAGGTGCACCGCAGGTGCTGACTGCGGAAGTTCTTCAGCAGACCCAGAGGTCAGGGCCAGAAGTAAAGGGAAGTCCCCAGGAGGCAGAAAGAGGCAGCTAAAAAGGAGCCCCACCATGGCAGCTTCTGCAGCACTGCCGCCTGCGGAGCCAGGTTGGACTCACAGTCCCACGCGCTACTTTTACATTAACTTTATTGAAGAGTACATGTTAATTGCAGACAAGGTGAAAGTTCAGATACAACAAAGAGATTAGGAGCCACCTAAACCCTGCCACGTGGGGTCCCTGTCGGCTGTGTGGCCATGTGGCCATGTTCCCTGCTTCTTCCCAAACAGTACAGACTCCTGCTAGTACCCCTTCCTACACGTCTGCATGGGACAAGGTTTTTCCATGCAAAAACAAGAACAAAAAAAGTGTACAATGCCATTTTTTATTCCTCTTTTGTGTTTTTCAGGTGCGGTCAAATGAAGACAGATTTGAAGATGATCGCTATTTTTTGGGCTTCCTGTCCAATTCAAAAAGGTTCAATGTTGCAATCACCAGACCCAAAGCCTTGCTGATTGTGCTGGGAAACCCGCATGTGCTAGTCAGAGTGAGTGTGCAAGACAGGGGACTGAGGAGGAGGGCTCTGGGGAAGGGCCAGGCCACCCAGAAGTGGCCGCTGAGGTGAGGGATGTGTGTGGGGCACAGGAGACATGGCTCCCTTGTATTCAACAGGACCCCTGCTTCGGTGCCTTGTTGGAATACAGTGTTACTAATGGTGTGTACACCGGCTGTGATCTGCCTCCCGAGCTGCAGGCTTTGCAGAAGTGAGTGTTCCTGCTGCTTCCTAAAGGCTGGGCTGGCTTTAGGATGGCCCTGCCCCTCCTCTGCTGGCCCTCACTTAGGACCCCCACATCCATGCCTGCCACACTGCTTCCCAGGCTCTCTGCAGCCCCTGGACTGCAGTAGCTACTCTGTCCTGATCATTCAGGGCTGGCATCAGCCTCCCCTCACACACACAGGGATAAACAAAGCACCTGGTAGGAACCCTGGGGAAGGGGGCAGGTGGAGCTAGATCCACATGCTGCTCCTCCCTGCAGCTGTGCCTAGAGATGGTGGGTTTAGCCCCCAGTGCCAGCATCTGCCAACAGAGGAGCCGGGCCCACTGGAAGCATAGCAGCCTGTGTGCAGGGGACTGTGCACCTCATGCTATGGGCCCGAGACCCTGCCTGCCCGTGTTCCTGTTTCTGCCTGTCCTGCAAATCCTGTGGCCCCTTGTCTTACAGCCGTGGACATTGGTATGGGCAGCAGCTGATCCTGCTCTGGCTGCTGACCTTGGCACACACCAGCATGTTCCTGCCATTTGGCAGTCACTGCTGCTACCTCCCCCCCAATAAATACTTTGGTGACCCCTAACCTCCTGTGCACCTGAAAATGTGCCCATCATTGATGAGAGTCTCACGAGGCCTCTGCCTGCCACCGTCTGCAGTCTTTGGAGCTGACCCCAGCAGCTCCATCCTGATCCAGACACGTGCTGGGCAGCAGGCCAGCCACCAGCTCTCCTCAAAGCATGCAGAGCCCCCGGGGTCTGTGGGGCTCCGCCTGGGGTTGAGGGGAGGTGGCAGCAGCATTCAGGCCTGTCCAAGACCCAATACTTCTGGAAGGCTCAGCAGGCAGGCCTGTGCCGGGGCCTCTGCCTGTCCTGCTAGCCAAGAGCTCTTTGGTCCCTGTGCCACATGGACACCAGGCTCTCTCAGCACCTTCATGGGTGGGCGGGCTCCCTGGGGGGCCGTGCTGGGCCTGTGGGCCTTCACTCCAGAGGCACTGAGTGCAGAATCAGCAGGTCACTGAGTCCTTGTGCCCTGGCCAACAAGAGGCCAGCACAGTCGTGCCCCATGCCAGCTCTGCCACAGCCACCTTCACCCACCCTGGGGACTGTTGCTGAGTTTGCAGCCCTTGGAGACGAGCGTTCTCCAGGTCCAGGAGGAAGCAGTGCCAGGCAGTGCTGTGTGAGCAAGTGGGAGTCTGGCTGGCCGGCGGGTCCCTCCTGCCCTGCCTGTCCTGCAGCACCCTCCCTTCACAGGACTGCCCCGCCCAGGTCCTGGGGCAGCGGGAAGAGGCTGGTGTGGTGCCCTGGAAAGACTCACGTCCTACAAGCCTGCACCCATCCCATTGTGTCCTCCCCACAGGGACTGGCCTTGCCCAAGTGGAGCACTTAGGCCAGAAGGCCCAAGGGATGAGCCCCACAGAGGCAATGGCTGAAGCCTCCCACCCCAGGGACCAGCATGGGCAAGGTGCCCTCCCCAGGTGGAGAACAGAGAACCTTTGGGGAGACACTTCCTCCAGATAGAACTGAGGGCAGATCAGACCAGCCAGGTGGTTCTGCCCAGTCCTGTCCCTCCTCCACTCAGCAGCCAGGTAGTGTCCCATGGCTGATGGTGCCATTGACCAGGAGTCACCCACACAGCAGTCAGCCCTGCCCACCCCAGGGGCAGTGCCCAGCCTCTGCACACCTGCCTCGGAGCCTTCCTATGTCCCGCCCTCTATCTGCAGCCGCTCAGCTGCTCCCTACAGGCTCTTCTTGGCTTCATGGCCCCTAACTTTCCTTGCACCCTGTCAACATGAGTCACACACAGCCACCCGGGAGGTCTTCAGTGTTGGCTGGCATGTGAGCAAGTGAAGGCAGGAGCAGGGCCAGGCCTGACACTTAGAGGTGACCAGTCTGTCCCACAAAAGCTGGGCATGTGAGATGGATCATGGTCCGGTGTCATCAGTGATGGAACCAGCCTCTGTCCTTCCAGCACCAAGCACTGAGCTAAGGTCAATCCTGGGCCTGTGGGCTCTAGCACCTCCTCCCCAGGGGCAGTGCCTAGCACCACCCCTCACCCTCCACCCCAGAATCATCCACACAGCCAGGGCTTCACCCACACCTGCTGCGATTTCCCCTGGATATTAGGGTACAGGAAAAAGGCCAGGCCTTGTGGGACCACAGCTCCAGAAGACCCATGGCCCAAGAGCAGACAGGCGAGACCAGCACCAGGAAGGTGGGAGTCCCTTCGAGGACTTGGTGCCCTGTGTTGAGGGCAGGACAGAGTGGGTGGGAGCCCCGGGACAGGTGGCAGGGAGGGAAGCATGCTGCCTGGGCCAACATAGAGGTCTTAAGATTTGCACTTGGAGATCCCCAAGGAAACTTTAAAACAGCATCTCCCTGCTTGTTCTTAAGTTAGCTGAAATGTTTTTTTTTTTCATTTTTAAAAACTGTTGGTGTCCTTCCCACCTCATGGTAAGTCATCTTAAGGCAGAAGAGTCACAGTGGTTTGTCAGCTGCAGTGGAGGAATGAAAATGCCGCCATCAACCATGGGACGCTGGCCAGCTGTCTGTGGCAGCTCCTTGAACGCAGGCCCTAGCCAAGTCCCACAGCTTGTCCTAGTGCAAAACATGCTGGACAGCTGTGCACCATACACCTTCCTGCTCTCCTAAGCATGGAGTGGGAGCTCAGACCCCCTGCCCCACAGCCACAGGGGTGTGAACAGGTGAGGGTTCAGCCATTGGGGCCAGAGTAGAAGGCACGTGACCTGAGACAGCTTGAAGGGTGGAGTGCTGCTCACCACTCCTCCCCTGCTCGGCACCTGGCTGCCTATCCAGAGAGTGGACAGCATTCCACAGTGAGCACAATGGGGACAGAACCCCCAGCCACCCTGGGGTTCACAGGGGAGGGCTGGAATTACCCTGGGGGCCTGGCCTGGCCTGTCCTGCCCATGTCTTGGCTCACCTCTCCTGCTTTTTGGAGACAATGTACACATACACTGAGAACGTCATTGTCATAATTTGTGAAACCCTGCGGCTGAGCATGGTAAACAAGAATTTCATCTGGATCATCCTTACAATTAATTCTAAATACACAATCAAAATAACACACACTGCCATATTTCACCAGTAACTGAGCATGCAGGTAAAGGTGAACTGGAAGCAGAGCCCTCAGTGGTCTGCAGGGGCTTCTTGGCAAGCACTCCTGACCTCATGGAGGGTGTTGTGTAGGGCTGCAATGAGACAGGCTGCCATGACATTGTTTTCCCATCTTCCATCCTCATGGATAGAAGAGTTGAGAAACCCCCTTCACCTAAATAAGGGGTGGGATGAATATTTTGCTGTAGTACTCTTCCCTCAACCAGTCAGGAACCTGCTGGTCAACACCACATGTTAACATATCCCCAAGAGAAAGGACGAGCTGCTCCCCAGTGCAGTTCCTTCCCCAGATAGGATCTGGGAGAGCACCCTGCAGTCTGGGCTGCCTTAGTGTGAGATGCAGACATGGACCCCACTCTCCACTCCCTCATGCCTTCTCCTGGGAGGACCACAAAGCAGAGAGGCTGGGCACCAGGGGTCCCTGCAGGATCTGAGCCCCTAACCAGGGTGCCATCAAGGACCTTGGCTCTGGCTCCTACCCCACTCCCACCTCGGCCCTTCTGTCTTTGCAGTGGATGGCAAAGAGAGAGCTTAAGGCCCAAGTTCCAGTTTGGCCAGGTGCCCCTTTCCCAGGATTCCATGCTTCCTCTGCTAGATGTCAAGATGGTAACCATCCAGCAACTCTTAGGGACACAGGACCCCATCCACACATTTACCATTAGTTTTTACTGAGCATCTATTATGCTCTGGATGCTGCTCTAGGCCAAAACAACTGCATCCACTGTGCAGCTGGCATGCCTGATCAGAGTTCATCTGGAAATCGGCAGCCTCCCTTATGCCAGAATCATCAACCAAGACGCATAACAGAAATAGGACGCCTTTTGTGCTGAGGATGTGGCTCAAGTGGTAGCACGCTTGCCTGGCATGCGTGAGGCACTGGGTTTGATTCTCAGCACCACATAAAAATAAAGATATTGTGTCCACCTATAACCAAAAAATATTTAAAAGAATAGGATGCCTTTTATAGAGAAAAAGCGCATGATCTAGGAAATGACCTGATGCACTAATGCAATTAGACCTTCATGTAGGAAGCATTTTGATTCTATTACATGATAGATCTAAATAAAGCAAGAGATGTACTATGTTCATGGATAGTATGTCAGTACATAGTTCAATTTTCCTCAATCTATACATTCAAGACAATTTCATTGTTCCAGCTAGATTTTTCAGAAACTTGACTAGATCATTCTAAAATACATATGAAAAATAAAGTCTGTGCATACCCACATCAATATTAAAAAAGAACAATGGAGATACCTGCCCACTACAGATTAAGGTATACTACCAAGCCATCATTATACAAACAGATGTACAGGCCAGGCACATGGACCAAGAACACAGAGACCCATCTAGGATGCATAGCCAATGCCTGAGAAAGGGGTCTGCGAGAGGGTGCTTGCTTCCTTGGCACTGAGAAAACTAGCTCATTTTGTGGAAAACTAAGCTGCACTCCTACATGAGAGTACCCTTCCAACTAAAGATTTATGTCACCTTGTTTATTTTCCCATTAATAAATAATAAACAAGGAGAGAAATGAATTACAGTAGATGGGGTAGAGAGAGAAGATGTGAGGGAAGGGGAGGGGGGATAGTAGGGGATAGGAAAGGTAGCAGAATACAACAATTACTAATAGGGCATTATGTAAAATTGTGGATGTGTAACCAAGTGATTCTGCAATCTGCATTTGGGGTAAAATTGGGAGTTCATAACCCACTTCAATCTAATGTATGAAATATGATATGTCAAGAGTTTTGTAATGTTGTGAACAACCAATAAAAAAAAAAAAGATTTATGTCAAATTGGTAACATACTCCATGGAATTTTTTGGATTGAAATTTTATGGTAGAATAGTCTAAAAATCTCCAAATTACAAACTATTTCAACTGAACTGATTTACCTCAAAATGCAAGGTTGTTTTCTGATACTTATTCTCTCTGAAGTCACTGAATGACTGAAACACTATCACTCCCTTGGACAGACACCAGATACCTTTGTGACATCAAAAAGAAAATCCAAAACTACAAGCCGTATTTTAAAAAATAATAATAAAAAAATAAAAATAAATAAAAGATGGTTTTGACTGCATCAAAATTAAGGATCTCCATTCAGACCCCATGGATGATAAGGCCGACAGACAGAAGGACATGGAGGGGTCTACAGCTGGTAACAAAGGGCATGTACGGAAAGGGAAGAACTGCAAACTGCCAGGGAAAGGGAGTTCAGAGGCACGGTCAGCTCTGAGCAGCCCAAGTGAGGACTGCCCCGGTAATCAGGAGACCCACACCCTGCACCCGGGAGTAGATGCTAGGAAGTGTGGCAGCCCCACCCTGGGAGTCCTCAGAGAGCTTTAGGGTGACTGTGCCGGGGAGTCCGGGGTACCTGGGGGAGGGTGCTAGAAGCAGCTGACTCAGCATGGAGAAAGCAGAATCTGCAGAAGCAGGAGCACATCCTTCAGAGATCAGGGTTTGGGGGGCAGAGAGGGTTGAAGGTCCAGAAACTGGCCAGGCTGGGAGAGGGTGGGAGCAGGCTGGGCACCGCACATCCCCTCCAGAACATCCCCGGGGGTGGGCCGGCTGCCGGTGTGCTCACGAATGCTGGGGCTCGGGAGGCACCTGCTGGATGGATTTCTGCAGGACGTGGAAGCCCCAGGCACACTACAAATACTGAGGGAGGGGGCAGCAGCGGAAGACCTGAGCCAGAGAGTCCTGCAGGCGGCCAGGGCAGAGGGGCGGCCCCGGGCCCGAAACTAAACCCACAAATGGGCCTGCAGTCAGTCGCTCCCAGGGAGCAGCGGGCCTAGATGGCTCCAGATGTCGGATGAGGGTCAGAGAGGTGGCAAGGAAGCCCCAGAGTAGTGGCGACAGCCGATGGCGCGGTGGGGCGGAGGTGCGGGGCTGAGGAGCA